AAAAACTAACTAGCATTTCCTAGAGCTGTGAAAAATGATAGCACTTTGATGCATTTTGACCGTTTTATGTCTACTATCAGTCTATTGACCTAACTTCTTATTATCGATGTATACTTGTCAAGAACTTGAATTGACATCTTATACCTCGTTCAGAGATATGAAGCTGCCTTTTTTTTAAACATGTAAATAAATGGCAACTGCATGTAACAAAGGTCTTATGAGTCAGGGAAAAAAAAAAAAAAAAAAAATTTTGGGGTCTACTTTTCAAGCTTGTTTGCATTAAAATAACAATCTTTAATTTGTTTTATATTGAACTCTATGCAATTTTTGGGGGGCTCTTTTATGATTTTAAGGGGCTCTTTTTGGCATTTGGGGGGCAAATTCGCCCGAGCCCCGTGTATTTTTGTCCCTGTTATGAGTCAGATATACAAGTAAGTAATTTGACATACACCTGTAGAGTAATACATACACATATTTCTTTTTACAAGTAATATGGATTGAACAAATTCACAGATCCTTACCATTTGGCCACTTTTACAACCGATTGTAAGAGTTGTTACGAATTATTACCTGGTACCTAATTTAGCACCTGGGTGAAGAGGAGCAATATTGATGAAATGCCTTGCTCAAGGAGAAATGCCATGCCAGGGCTCGACCCCATAACCTTTGCATTTCCAGTCAAATGATTATACAAATTGACTTTATACAATATACATGCTTTCATAAAATCTAACATTCATAAAGACATGTCCAATATATCAAAATTACATGTACCTGTGATCGAGACAGAAAAACTCTCAAATGACATTCATGTTAGGAAACAAAGCAGTCATTCTTTACAATGACAGGACTCATACTTCCAATAACATTATGTTTCAGGTTTACAATTACAGTATTTTCCATATAGATCACTTTTAATCTTTGTTTCTCTGATCAAGAGCAGCTGAAAGAATCATGTGATATATGAGCTTCAGCTTTCCACCGCAAAATATCATGCCTCCAAAATATTACTTCAGACCTTCAAAAAGCTCACATCACGTTCTGCCATCCAGCCAATCCAGAAATCAATTTTATTGATGCCGGAGATTTAATAATAATCCAACGTCTTCAACAGTAAGTATTTCTCCTCTTCAGCCTAAGCAGATTCGGCGTTATTATTGATATCAAGTTTGGAGGGACTATTTTGTTGTTGTCTTGGATGTACAGAAGATGAGACAGAAGAGGGATATGTTGTGAAAAATCATCATACTTTCTCAAAATATATTGTCCAGTTCAACTCTTTTATCTTCAAAGCTTATGGTATTCTGCCTATAGTAAATGACTTACTCTTATTGCTATTACAAATTAAACCAAAAAATATTTTAAAAAACGGTTTCAACATTAACTAGAAATGCAATCGTGTCACAACGATGTGCGTGCAATGACGCCATGTTTCTACGTGTCAAACGAAAGAGCTTCTCTCGCCCTATCCAGAGCAATTTGTACGAAGTCTGTAGCTTCTGTGATATTGGAGATAGGTAGGGCGAAAGAAAGGCCTCAACAGTGACCTTGATGGGATGGTAGTGACTATGCCTACGAAGTTTGAAAGAAATTGGGATATGGGAAAGGACGTAGAAAGGGCTCGCAAGCACTGCGTGCAAAAACCAAGGGGATTTGGTGCATGTTCTTCATTGCAATAAAGATCGTCCTGGGGGTCAAAAGCGTGAACCCGATATGCCCCATAGACAATGCGTGTAATGCATGAGCGGAAAACGTACAGGATCTGTATTATGACCGGAGTTAAATTGTTTTTTCTCTCTCTCTTTATGTCTCTTTATGGGCCGTATTTGGTATCATTAGAAAGAGAATTTCATGGTTGTTATTGTAAACCACTCTCTTTTTTTCTATGATAATCCTATCGAAACACGTGATGTAAAATAGATTTATAGGACAAAATGGCGTCTTAAATGGCCCCATTGACCAATTTCAAAAATCCGGCCAAGAGGTGCCCTGCGTATTGGAACTCGGCATGTCACTGCAAATTTTCAAGGAAAAAAAAGGACGTTTAAGGGGCGAAAAGCAGTCTGAAAAATTACGTCATAGCCGACACGTGTTAGATTCGTGCAAAAACTCGGCGGAATTCGTGTAGTGACCTTTGTTCAAATGCGATTTACTCACAATTTTCTGTGTGAACATATACTATACTTGGTATCATTCGAAAGGGCACTTCATTGCGGTCAGTTTGACACCATTATTATCTGCGCGCAATGTATTGCACGCATTAAACGCGCTATTATGTAATGCTTAGTAAATTCATCATTTTTGGCGATTACTTTGCGCTGACATATTTGAATTTTACCAAACTTGGCGGACAGTTGTCACGTATATGGATACATATGTCTGCCAAGTTTCATTGATGTAGGTATAACGATCGCCATTTTAGAGCAAGTTGAAGTTATTTCGGAATTTTCTTGAAAATGGCGAATTTGGAGGGCAATTTTCTCAAATTTGGTCAGTGATAGGGTATATAATTTTGTATATGGCTGGAAAGGGCATATCTTCAAGTATCTAAATCCAAAAAAGGGTACGGATTTGCCAAGCCATTATGGAGATACGGCCACAGAGAGAAAGCCAATTCCCAGAACTTTAGAGGGCGCTATTTATGTTGTGCAAAGCCAATGGAGCGTGAAATTTGGCATGGCTATGTGCAATTATGAGATAAAGATATTGTGAGATTTAAATACAAAACGGAATTTATATGAGAAAGTTATGGCAGTTTTAGATTATTTAGGGGTCCATTTTTCAAGAACTTGAGATTTTTTTGACGGAGTCGGTTTACGATTTGAATTTCGAGTACGAAGATGGCATTTTGAAGGTCAAGTCATATGTCGCAGATGAAAGAACATCTCTTAGACTATCTAGAGGAATTTGTTAGAAGTTTGTAGGATCTAGGATAGTGGAGATGGGAAGGAAGAAAGAAAGGCCTTAAAATGGACCAGAAACGGACAAAATGGCGCCTGGACGGTTATGCATGAGTAATTTCGAAAATCGAAGAATGTAGTGACCTTGATGAGATGTTAGAGACTATGCCTATGAAATTTGAAAGGAAAAGGACATGAGGAAAGCACCTAACTAGGAATAACAAGCACTACGTGCAAAACGAATGGGATTCCGGACGACAAGAAGAAGAGGAAGAAGAAGTAAGAATATTAATAAGAAGAATGTGAACGAAAACAAGGCAATGACGAAGGTTCGTCATTGCAATGATGTACCTAAACTACCAGTACATGGAAGGAAAAAAAAATCATACACTTACAGTAGTATTAGTAAACCAGTGGTCAGATTACATCTGTTTTTAAAAACTTGTGGTGTCATGTTCCCACTACATGTGTAATTAGAATACAATTCCAATATTCCCATTGTCTTATCATATGACTTCTAAATCTCTCTCTCTCTCTCTCCCTCTCTCTCTCTCTCTCTCTCTCTCCATCCCTCCCTCCTTCCCATCCCTCCCCCCCCCCCTCTCTCTCTCTCTCTCTCTCTCTCTCTCTTTCTCCCCCCCCCCTTTCTCTATCTCTCTGTGTCACTCTCTATCTATCTGTCTATCCATTTATGTACACATATAGATCATGTATCATTAAATCTGTACCCCGCCTGTTTGTATATCTGTCCAAGTTTATCTTTCTGTCTCTTCCCTCTCTCTTGACCCCCCCCCCCCCACCCCCCCCCCCTTTTTTGGTTTCTCTCTCTTTCTCCCTCCTTCCCACCCCTCTCTCTCTCTCTCTCTCTCTGTCCATCTCTCTATCTCTCCTCTGCAAACATACATCTAACGTATATTTATATTATACATGATTCCTATTTTTTCCACATCCCTGTTGGTAGTCCATTACCTGATTCTATATGAACATTCTGATAATTTTTAAAAGGGGAAACTCATTCAGTATCCAATATACCTCAAAAGAGCAGATAATTTGTCCATTAACAGGTAAATCGATGCATTAATTATTCACAGCAATATAATGACTGTGAAATCAATCAACAGCATGACACAGGTCACGGTTGACACAATCAATTATTGCTGTCTAACAGTCCAGATAAAATCAGACAAATTGATCCAATACAATACATGTAACTCAGAAGAAAATCATTGCATTCATTATTAACGGTATATAATGACCCAACTCGATCAACCTCACGACACAGTTTACGCTTGACACAATCAATATTTGGTGTAATCATGAACCTCATCCATCCAGTCTACACACATGTATTGACCTAGTCCCATTTTCACTATCAATCTACATGTAGAATGTATACAAGTTTAGTTGAAGTATACCACAACCCTCATCTAAAGGTGTAGCTACAGGGGGGGGGGGGGGGGGGGGCATGGGGGTACTTTTCCAGTCTAAAAAGTTTTAATCTTTAAGAGGAAACAAATGGTAATTTACACCTTTTCCTGACCATTTCTGAGTGAACCACATCCACTTGATATCAACACGATATATTTGATATCAACACGAGTTACCATTTCAGGAAGGTATATATGTTGGTTAGATTTCCTAGAATGGCTTTCATTGACCTTCTATCCAATGACTTAGTGGCATAGCTAGGGGACACAGAGAGGGGACATAGAGAGGGGATACAGGAGGGCACATACCAGGCCCCCCCCCCCCCCCATTGTATGACCCAACAGAAAGGAGACTGGTGCCGCCCCACCCCACTCCCCACATTATGCCGACGCCTTTAGACGCCCCTTCAATAATTGGACTTGTGATATGCCAGGGCTGCCAAATGCATCCCTGCAAAACAGTGTCACTTCAGTTTTTCATGGTGCACCACTAAAACGTTTTTGTATGCAAAAATTTATATTCGAGAATGGGGTCAAGGACTTGGATTGATGATCCTCTGTATAAAAGAAACTATAGGCATGCATACATTAGTCAATAATCTAGCACACGCAGTATAACAATTGTCTGCTATAGAGCTAGACGTGTGTCAACTAGATGTGTTTATGAGTTAACACTCTTCTGGCTTCAAAAAGACAATTGATACATGTAGGTTAGGAGACAGCAATATTTTGTTTTAGGGTTGTGGGGTACTGAAGATATGAGCTTGTGCACCCCAGTCTCCTCCCACATAATTTTCATCTTGCTGTATGTACATGTATGCTGCTGTCACATATCATTTGCAATTACATGAGTATGTGACAGTCAAGTAGATGAAACAAAAAATATGAGACAAATGTGTCATTAACTTACCTCCAAATGTTATATATATCCATGAACAACCCCTACAGCATAGCACACAAGATGGCTTCAATCTATGCGGTTGTGTTGATATATATATAGTCCCTTATAATGGGCTGGTATTCCCCCTGTGAGTGAAACAAATAGAAAGAGGAAACGGATAAAATACAAATATGTTACAAGCTACGTTCCCACGAGACCATGGTAGTTTTAAACTTTAAAGTCACTGAGTAGTCGCTCTCATGGGGAATTCGACACCGTTCGGGTGTTTACCCAATAACAGGTGTTGTCAATCACCAGGGTTAGCCTTGAGTTTTATGACCATTGGACCTTATGTAATGCTTTGAATTGCCCGAAGACTCTCGAGCTCTCCGAGAGATTAGGGGGTATAATTCTTGACTGGACTATGGGTTTGCTGTGTGCAAATTTGTACCCCCATTAATGGTATTTCCACCAAGTCTGGTGTCAGCGAATTATGGCCTTCTGCACATGGAAACTGGCGATCCCCCCTTTAAGTTTCTGAAACCTCAGAGTTAAACAATGATCCACTAACAATGACAGGGGGGTTCACACGAGACCATGTTAGTTTTAAACTTTAAGTTTCTGAAACCTCAGAGTTAAACAATGATCCACTAACAATGACAGGGGGGGGGGGGTTTACACAGACTGAAACAATAAATATGTCATAACTGACCTCCAAACGATATCCATGAACAACAACAAAAGGATAGCACACAAGATGGCTTCAATCTATGCGGTTGTGTTGATATATATATAGTCCCTTATAATGGGCTGGTATTCCCCCTGTGAGTGAAAGAAATAGAAAGAGAAACCGGATAAAATACAAATATGTAACAAGCTACGTTCACACGGAACCATGGTAGTTTTAAACTTTACGTTTCTGAAACCTCAGAGTTAAACATTGATCCACTACCACCAACAGGGGAAGGGGGTTCATACAGACTGAAACAATGAATATGCAAAGTTTTGTTACATACATGTACAAGCCTAACAAGTATTTGTTGTCACTAAAAGCTGGAGTAAACCTTAATCAACGGCGCTTTACAAATATATACTTCTAGTAAACTTAAAAGTTTTGTGACCAGAATCTTCACTTTAGGTTTGCAGACTATTGTGTACAAACTATTAATAAAATGCCTGAAGCATGAGGAAATGTCAAGTTGACTGAAACGAAAATATGTAAACTGAGCTAACAAAACCTTTTATGAAAATCCACCGCACGCGAAATTGTCACTTGTGTTGGAACAAAGCCTAGGCACGGAGTATCCTTGTGTGGTGGTATCGAGCTAAAAATATTTGCACCCACACACAAAATTAATCAATTGAATTTTACTTGTCCAATTTCAGATGTGGATCACGGAGATAACCAACACTCTGGACTATGGGTGCGTTCAATCGAATTTTCGAAGCTAGAATCACAAACATGAATCACAATTCAAAACGCCGTTACAAAAAGCAAGGTCACTGCGGTTTGCGTTCAAGCGATGTTTCATCAACGCTGATTCTAGCTCATTGCGAGCCAAACCACTGCGCATCACACTGCGCAGTATGGCCCAGGAACTTCGGCGCGCGCTTTCTGGAATTGTTTACGGCCGACTATCGACTGCTGTTTTGAGCATAGATCGCAATAATAAGACAAAGAATGAGAAGGTGATAGAAGGAAGAAACAAAGAATAACATAAGGAAAGACAGAAAGATAAAGTCGATAGAATAATTAAAACAAAGAATAACATAAGAGAAGGTGAAAGAAGGAAGAATCGAAGAATAACATAAGGAAAGACAGAAAGACAGAAAGAGAGAGTGATAGAATATGCTTAAAACAAAGAATTACATAAAAGGTGATAGAAGGAAAAAACAAAGCATAACATAAGAATAGAAGGAAGAAACAAAAAATAACAAAAGAGAAGGTAATAGAAGGAAAAAACAAAGAATAACATAAAAATAGAAGGAAGAAACAAAGAATAACATAAGGAAAGACAGAAAGAGAATGTGAAAAAGGAAGGAACAAAGAATGACATAAGGAAGAACAGAAAGAGAAAGTGATAGAATGATTAAAACAAAGAATAACATAAGAGAAGGTGAAAGAAGGAAGAATCAAAGAATAACATAAGGAAAGATAGAAAGAGAAAGTAACAGAATGATTAAAACAAAGAATAACATAAGAGAAAGTGATAGAATTATAAAAACAAAGAATAACATAAGAGAAGATGATAGAAGGAAGAAACAAAGAATAACATAAGGAAAGACAGAAAGAGAAATTGATAGAATGCTTAAAACAAAGAATTACATAAGAAAAGGTGATAGAAGGAAAAAACAAAGAATAACATAAGTATAGAAGGAAGAAACAAAGAATAACATAAGGAAAGACAGAAAGAACAAATGATAGAATGATAAAAACAAAGAATAACATAAGAATAGAAGGAAGAAACAAAGAATAACATAAGGAAAGACAGAAAGAGAAAATGATAGAATGATAAAAACAAAGAATTACATAAGTATAGAAGGAAGAAACAAAGAATAACATAAGGAAAGACAGAAAGAGCAAATGATAGAATGATAAAAACAAAGAATTACATAAGAAAAGGTGATAGAAGGAAAAAACAAAGAATAACATAAGTATAGAAGGAAGAAACAAAGAATAACATAAGGAAAGACAGAAAGAGCAAATGATAGAATGCTTAAAACAAAGAATTACATAAGAAAAGGTGATAGAAGGAAAAAACAAAGAATAACATAAGTATAGAAGGAAGAAACAAAGAATAACATAGGGAAAGACAGAAAGAACAAATGATAGAATGATAAAACAAAGAATAACATAAGAAAAGGTGATAGAAGGAAAAAAAACAAAGAATAACATAAGAATAGAAGGAAGAAACAAAGAATAACATAAGGAAAGACAGAAAGAGCAAATGATAGAATGATAAAAACAAAGAATTACATAAGAAAAGGTGATAGAAGGAAAAAACAAAGAATAACATAAGTATAGAAGGAAGAAACAAAGAATAACATAAGGAAAGACAGAAAGAGCAAATGATAGAATGATAAAAACAAAGAATAACATAAGAAAAGGTGATAGAAGGAAAAAAACAAAGAATAACATAAGAATAGAAGGAAGAAACAAAGAATAACATAAGGAAAGACAGAAAGAGAAAATGATAGAAGGAAAAACAATGAATAACATAACGGAACAGGCCACGATGGTATAGTGAACGCAAATTGCATGCAAAGCGGGCGCGCGGTTTTTCCCAAACCGGAAGAGGCTTCGTCATACAATCATGATTGAGAACTCCGTCCGTTCAATCGAATTTTAGCGACCGTGATTCTTTTGAATCATGATACAAAACGCATCTTTTTCAGCGTTTCATGTTTGTGTTTTCAAACACGTTTATTTTTACGACCGACGAAAAAATCGCTTGAACGCATTGCGTTTTAAACTAAACGTCTTTAGAAACCGTGATTCTAGGGTGAAAAAGTGTCGATTAAACGCACCCTATATACATCCAGACTCAACCTCATCTCCCAGTGAATGAACCCTATAGTTTTTAAGTTTATATTCATAATGTGAAATGTTATATATCGCAGGTTTGTTTCCTTGTTTTATTTGTTTGTCTGTTTGCTATATTAGAGTCATGTATATATTGTTCATTTGTATGATACAGCTATTTCCTCATTTTTGTTGAGCCCTCCTTCTCATAATTTGTTTTTGTCTATTATTGCTCTGTATTGACTTTTGCTGATATTGCACTGGTGTGTACTGTATATATTTTATGTATGTTGCATTTAGGCCATTTAAAAAATATAAACATGTTTAGCGTCCCCGCCTGCTTCCTTTGGGGGGGACGCCTCCCATTATTTTTTTTTATTTTTTTTTTTAAAGAAAAAAAAATGAAAAACACTGCTAAAATGATTCTATTTCTGATTTTTTTTTTTAATTTAATTTAAAAAATGTCGGCAGCCATCTTGAAAAATAGCCCGACTGTAAGGGAAAATGTACCGTGCGGCCATTTTGAAAAAAAATTAAAAGAGCCTCCTCCTTCCTATTTTTCAAAAAGGCAGGACGCTAAACATGTTTTTTTTTTAATTTGGCCTTATTGGTAGTGAAATAAAGACCAAACTGAACTAAATACGAAAAGAGAATCTTAACTGATTTCCAACCATTGCTTGAAGTATCCTAACCCAGAATATTAGTCTGATTGGACCAGGTAGAACCCTCTACCGAAGTGAGCATGAAAACAGTTTGAGCTTGATTTCCAATCGCTGCTTCATGTTTCCTCTTCCATTCTGACCAAAGGGAGTATTCATGAACATTAAACCCAAGACCAATCACCTTAGAGGGAATGCTACATAATCTGCGATAATTAAAGGGTAGAATTGAAAATCTAGCTTCCCGCAAAGCCTAGAGTCAATACCACAATCCAGTTCAAACGAATTAGATCGTTGAAGCGAGAGAAATCATTCCTGACAAACTTCTAACTGCACCACAATTGATCGCAAGTTACTATTTTCACTCTATTAAATTTTGCACAGGTACCGTAACCTAGAAGCCATCATGCAATTGTGCTGTAACATTTTTTAATTTGATTTCAGGCAGAAACTGAACCAGGAACATATGTGCCGTTAGTAGTGAAAAATCGGTTGAAGCATTCCGTAACGTTCTCATACTTTTAACTTCTCCAGTTTGTATCAATGTCATTTTGAGAAGAATATAATCTAGGCAAATCAAGTTTCTAGTCAATACTTTAGTTGTTCATTTAGAATGACCTTGAAATACCGAACTGAGCAAAATGGCATTAAAACCCCATTCACATCGGCCAAAAAACAACTCAAAACTGTTTGTGATACCATCCGATTCTTGGCCATGCAGCATTATAGCATATTTTGTTAAGTCTGTTGTTGGACTGCCATCAGTCTCATCAGTCTGGTCGGTTTGACGGTTTGACTGAGGATGTAAATGAGCTACATGTTATAACAATAGACCATTTTCGTAATGTAATCAAATATAATGCATAAATATTTGTTACCGGTGAGTGCCATGTTACAAATTATTTAATTTACCTGTTACAAATTATTCAATTCACCTGTTACAAATTATTTAATTCACCTGTTACAAATAGTGTTTGTCAAAAGTCAGAATGTGAATTGCGTACTTCAATTGTTGCTAGGTAGGACAAACATTATGGCTTGTCTAGACTAACAACACGAAATGTATGTAATTCACATTCTGACTATTGAAATACAATTATTCATAACTAATGAATCAAATAATTTGTAACATGGCACTTAACAAATATTTATACATTAAATTTGATTAATTTACGAAAATGGGCTATTTAAAATAACTGTAGTTAAAATTAAATATGATAATAATATTGACCTGAACGGTTTAAGATTTATTTGTGGTATGGCACACTTTTCCCATTGATTCTCGTCTGATTATCACCAGCTTAGTATCCAACAGGTTAAAGAGCTATGTTCCCTAAAGCATTTGATGTTTCAAATCTCCCGACAATTTCCTTCAAAGGAACTGCCTCTGAGAAACACGCCAGTCTTCAGAAACTAAACCCAAGTATAAGAAAAGAACCAACCATATATGGCATGACAAATCACAAGAGATATGGGCATTGAAAAAGAATGTTGAGTGAAGGTGAAGGTGAAAGAAACAAAATGGTGAAGAAACAAAATTTTGAGCTCTCTCTTTCAGTTTCAGACAGTTTCTTTCACAATGTATAACATGCATTGGCCAGAACTTGACTTTTATCTTAAGATGGCTGACAAGTGCTTAA